ACATATTTGCCAATGTCTGTGTAGGCATGTAACCTTCATGCTGCTTCCCATCTTCAGGCATTTTGCACTGCAAATGCCTAGCACAGAATGCCTTTAAGCATGCAGCTGGCAGCCATCTGCACCCCCATATTGACTTCTGGCAACTCCAAGGATGTATTCAACAGTAACATACTAATCTTGTACATAAATGACTGCAGCTGACCTCATGAAACCATTAGGGGATGACTACTGCCTGACCATAGATCTAGAGTACTCATTTTATACACCAAGTGATGGAGAAATCTCTAAGGTAGCAGACACCTCAGCTTGCAGGTAGCACAGCAGCAGGTGCTGTTCTTAGGTAGCAGAACAGTATTCTTAATGGTTGGGTCCACAAGCAATCTTTTCTCAGAACTGAAGCTTCAGGTAATAAACTATGTTTCCTAAATATGATTATACCACTTCTGAACTCAAGATTACAGTTGCCCGGTATAGGTAAGAAGAACATTGGCTGATTAACTCAGCAAATCAGCTAAAAAAATCCCTCTAACTAAAAGCTGCGACGAGTTAACATTTGCACTGTTATTTCAAGGATGGTCTATAAAGCAACACTAGGCAGAAAACAGCCACGCCATAAACAGTATAGGTTCATTAGCACAATAACTGGCATAATAGCCTTACAATGCCAGATCTGACTACCTTGTTTCAGGCAGGATTAGCATAGACTGGTAACAAACCATACATTTCCTGGGATTTTTATTTGTCTTGGCTTTCTGGCAATGTTGTTTGCTTCTTGGTGCTTAAGATGGTGGAGGTGGAGGGATTTCAGCAAGAAATTGGTTATTACAGGGTGAATCAGGTGCCTGAACATAGGCGTTTGGTCCATTCTGGTATCTCCTAGGGTGCCTGTCTGGCATTCCAGGAGGGCACAGCCCTCCTGTAGGTCCTGAGTCTAATTTGCCAGGACATCTCTTGTGCGTGGCTCAGGTACCCTTTGGCATGTAAAATGGCAGCAGGTCTTATGCTTAAGTGCCGAGTCACTACCTAGGTGAGATATTCATTTTCTGTTGCCCACCTTCCTCCCAAGCATGTCTGCATGTCCCCCCTCATGCAGAGTAGCTAGGAAATTCTGCCAAAATGTTATTTTACCTTTCCTACCCTATTCAAAGACATTCTCATAATTTAAAGAAGCCATCTGTGCACTTTCTTCTCTCTGCTCACTATCCCTGCTTCCCAAACATGCATGGCCAAGCCAGTCCCATCAGTTATTAACCTTTCCTGCTTCTCACGTTGCGCTGCCAGGAGTGCAAGTTCATTAGCACTTCAGCTGTCTGTGCAGATTATGCCCAGAGGCAGCCAGGAACTTGGACAAGACCTATAAAACTGGCAGTATATTCGGTATATAGTATATTCTTAGCTACATTATTTACATATTCTTTCCACTGCTCTGACAAGAGCTCCTCAGAGCTCCTGCTTCTGGGCTTCGCACTGGTGAAGCAGTGTGGGTGTCTTCCCACAGGATGCAAACATGCTCTTAAGCCTTGCTGCTGCTAAAGCCAACTGAAGCTTACCCTTTGCCTCAGCTGGTATATAGCTGCACCCTTGGAGCTACCTTGCCAATGTGGAAAAGCTACTGTGACAAAATAATTTTGAAGGGCTTCTTTGCAAATGAACGAATAGTTTCTGTGGTATTAGACAGACTTATCCTGCCCATGAATAACTTTATTTTCTCTTGCACTGACTCTATCTAAGTCCCTTGGTAATTGCATTTGCAAAATGGGTTAAGAACATGGATCAATCTGGCTGGCAAGTATCCAAGTCCCTGTAAGCACACCAAGAAAAACAAAGAGGTCACATCTTGTTAATCTAATCATGGAGGTACATTCAAACTTCAAACATTAAACACTGCCTGTAATTTAACAGGGATGTTAATCTACCATTTTGCATATAATTGGTAATTTTAATCTGTAAAAAGGTGCAGTATCCATATGAAGTAAATACAAATATTCTGATGATTACTAAGTACCAACTGATGTGCAGGCTGAAAAATACTAGGAGGTCATTGTTTGGGTTCACAGAACTGGGAAGAAGTGAAAGTTATTACCAGTGCTGTGGCATTGATAATATTGTTAATAGCAGCACTCTGTGAGAAGTCAAAAGGTAGTCCTGTTCCTTTAAAAGTTAGATACTATAATTGTTTTGAACTCAGAATGAGTTAAAAGAACATAAGGAGTCCATAGATCACCAAATCCAGTGTTTCCTATAGCCCATGCTCCATCATATAATCTCTTGTCCTTAACTGACCATCCTGGCTTGAATTAGGGTATTAACCTGTTTGCACCTGCTGGGTGGCTGTTATGTAGTTGGCCATCAATATGTACAACTGCCAACTTTAATCTATTTATCGACACTTTTTTGTTCCTGTGCCAGAAGAGTCATTTAGTGAAACAGCCTTTTCCCATTCCTGCCGTTTACCTTCTGGTATATTTTCCGAGCACAGTCAGAGCTCCCTTCAGACTTACTGTAGCTAGGCTGAAATGACCCTACTTTTCCAGTTTCCATTTGTAAGACAGTCTCTCCATTCCTCTGCATGGGGTGAGACCCCTTCCCCGTACCCGCACCTCTCTGAAGTAACCTTTCTGGAGCCCAGGGCTGAAGACAGGTGAGGCCCGTGGGACCTTGGGCAATGGCGCCAGCACTTCCCACACTCCTTAAGGGATAATAACTCTGGTACACACCAGAGACTGCACTTTTCTTTTCATGGCTGTGTTGCACTGGTGGCTTGTAGTCATCTGAGTACAAACAGGACATTTTCCCTTTGATTTAGTTATAGAGCTCCACTTCTGATTGTACAGACTTGTTTAAAATGTGTATACTAGGACCTAGTCTTCGTGACTACAATCGCGTAAGTTATATCCAAAGTCTGTTTTCTCCCCATTTCACATATATTAAATTTCTTTTGCTTCACTACACTCCCAATGTGATAATTTCCATTTCTGTAACTTCATTCCCATTTCCCGTTTTGCCCTCCTGTTCAGCATCATCATCCTCACTGAAAACAGAAATAAAAATTAATTGCACTTGGAGGCCACACTCAGCAGGCTTTCACTCTTCTCTTTTGGTGCATATGGCTAGAATCTTATTCTGATTTTCTTTGCAGGGTTTACCTCAGCCTACGGTTCAG